AATTAATTTTAATTAATGTCATGTATATTTTTAAGATAAAAAAATATTGAAAACCTTACCTTACAAGATTAAAAAAACAATAGATTTTTTTAGGGTTAAATTTTCACTTTGGTCCCTCAACTTTAACAAAAAAATCCTTTTTAGTCTCTTTAGGTAAGAAAATCTTTTTTTAGCCCTTAAATTTTATTATTTGCTTTTTTTTTATATACGTAATATATTAATGATGAAAATTTTAAAGTAAAGAGATTAAAAAAAATTTTAAAAATCTTTTTTTACCTATTTACTTGAAATTCCTTTTTAATCTTTTACTTGGGAATTTTTATTATCTAACTTACTATGTGTATAAAAATATAATAGATGAACTAAAAAAAGTCAAATAATAAATTTTAAAAACTAAAAATAAATTTTTTTAAATAAATTAATTTTTAAAAACTTTCTTTTAAAATAAAAAGATCAAAATAAGGTTTTAAGCTTTTTTTTTTAAGAAGTGTACCCACATTCTGCAGTGCTTTTAAAAAAAAAAATTAATAGAGATTGCATTTTTAAAAAGTTCACAATAATTTCAAATATTAAAATATATTGAGTTAGCTCCAAATCTACCCACTAGTAATTTCATTGTCTTTTAAAAATTTTCTTTCTACCTGAGATTGCTTCGACAAATTTTCTCTTGTACTCATGGTCGATTAATACTTCACAACAATCCCAACAGACTTTTACGTCATAACTGAGTTTAAGGGAATGAAAGAAAGGAGCAGGAAGGAAAACAAATTTGAAAAACCTCACTTTACTTTGTTTGGTTAAGATGCAAAAAGGTTAAACCCCCATTTTGGTCCCTCAACTATTGTACGTACCCCCGACTTAGTCCCTCAACTCAAAAAATTCCTGATTTGGTCTTTACTGTTTACCATTTTTACCCCGATTTGGTCTTTCCGTTAAAAATCTACTTACACGTCCCATTAGTTGACCAAAAATGATGACATGTAAAAATATTTTGACATGTAGGATTGACAACGTGGCAAAAAAACTTGACACGTAATTTTCAATAAAAATTAAAATATCTAAAATTAATTATAAAACTAAAATTACCTTTTTAACCTCATCTTCAACCACAAATCAATTTCTTTCCATTTTCCTTTTGTTATCCATTCATTTCAATCTCTAGCATTCATCATCTTTCCCCAGATCCTCGTTGATGAACCCAGGAGGAACCCAGCGACGTTGCTGGGTTCGATCGATGAATGAACACAACGGCGTCGTTGGGTTCATCGATCGAACCCAACAACGCCTGCTGGGTTCATCGATCGAACCCAGCAACGTCACTGGGTTCTGGGTTCCTCCTGGGTTCAATTGATGAACCCAGCAGGCGCTCCTGGGTTCATCGATCGAACCCAACAACGTTGCTGGGTTCCTCCTGTGTTCAATCAATGAACCCAGTAGGCGCTCCTGGGTTCGATCGATGATCCCAGCAGGTGCTGCTGGGTTGCTAAAGACAGTGAAGAGATTTGGAGGCAAAGATAACAAGGGAGTAACGAACAAAGTCGGTAATGGGAAAGCTTGGTTGGCAACTCTGGGTTTTTTCAACAACGCATTCAATTTCTTCTGCAACAATTTCCATTCCTTATCATTTAATCTTTATTTCCCCCTTTGTTATGGATTTGGGTTTCTTTATTATAGATCTGGGTTTTGTAGCTTTCCTATTTCAATTATTTTATTCTCTTGATTCCTGTTTCTCTAAGAAGTGGGTATGCTTTTATTGCTATATTATCGAGAAGGTAGGTCGATGGGGTTTGGGACTCTGGGTTCCTTGTGCGATTGTCGCACGGCATGGTGGGTTCCTCGTGTGATTTAGGTGTTGTGTGTTTTTACTTACGTTTTGTAACTTTCAACAGCCATTAAGAATATAATTAAGAGAATAAAAGAAAAACAAGTTACTTTTAGAAGATGTAATTTGCTGGGAGTATGTTGATTTGCCAATTTTTAGAGTCGGTGCCATGCTGCTGATTTTGGAGTATGACAAGATGAGAAGAAGAAGAAGATGACAAAATTGTTATTTCATCTGAGGGCAAAGTTATAATTTAGTTTAATTAGAAGGGTACAATTGTTATTTCATTTGACATATCATCATTATTTGCCACGTTGTATTAATGTGTTTTGATGTGTCATCGTTCTTCCGTCACATAACGTGCCAAGTAAGCAAATTTTTAATGGAGGGACCAAATCGGGGTAAAAATGGTAAACAGTAGGGACCAAATCAGAGATTTTTTGAGTTGAGGACTAAGTCAGGGGTCCGTACAATAGTTGAAGTACCAAAATGGGGGTTTAACCATGCAAAAATGAAGGTTTGACCAAAGAACAAAAACAAAAGAAAAAAAAAAAAGAAGCAAAAATGTTTCTGTTCAAATAAAAATAAAAATAAAAGGAAAAGGAGTGTAATAGAACCGACATTGTACGATCTCTAAAAGTATTTTAATGATTAAGAATTTAAATTTTTATATTAAAAATACTAATTTTAAATTTTAAGATGAAAATTTGTCAATGAAAGAATTATTCATCTATCCCATTATTTGACATTTTGACATATCAAAAAATAATATCTACATTTTCTTTTACTTTCCTCTATTAAATTGAAGTTATCCAAATAAAATGCTCATAGCCACTCACTGATTTCCTTTCATCTCCCTCTCCATACCTCTTCTTGTACCGGTTCATCCTGTATCTTTTCCCAAAGGCCACACCATAATATTAGAATGCGAGGATGAGATGCAAATCAAAAGTAGAACTTGCCAGAGAGAAATGGGCATATACAAATTTGCTTAAGGTTGTGCACGAGGTTGCAATCCATAATATTTTTTCACACAGTATCTTATTAAAAATATTAATTTATTATAACAAAATTAATTTTAATTAATATTTAATATAATTTAATAATTATATTAATATACCACACTTTTTTTTGAAGCGATCATCATCACAGAAATCCCAAACAACTCCCAAGTCATATATATGGAGACACAGCTATAAACAGTTACACGTTAACTAACAAACAAGAAATATACGAGCAAGTCATGAGAACAAAGAAACGGTTCGAAAATCTCCTTTTACTTGAATTTGTATCAAAGAACTCTAATGAAAATTCTTTCACTTTCCAAATTCTGTCACACGCATAACAAATTGTGATGGCAAAATTTGAAAGAATAAGAACCTAACTAAACTAAATACATGGTCGTTCCTGTCATATAAAAACATGAAGAACCATGGTTTCGCTTTTGCCTGCCTGCCAACTACCACCTCTAACAAACTTCGGGCAGCATATGAGTAACTGAGAGTACAAAATAATCAAGATATGAAGCCTCAGATCCTCAGAAGAATTCTTTGCATCATTGACCTTTCCTAAGTGAAGTTACCTTGCTTCCACCTTTCTCTGCTTGCTTCATAGTCTTAGTCAGTTCTCTTGCATTCTGAAAAATAAAGATGGAAAAGAACAAAAGGACCAAATCCATGTTAATTGTTATATATCTCTTTGGCCAAAAAATAAAATTCTATAAATATCTCAATCTATGAATGTAATAAAAGTGCTAGTGAAAAACAGTATACTGTAGATATTAATATAAACGTCATTCCACTTTCAAAGGCTACTACAACAGTTGTACTTTTAAATAAAGCCAACTAAATGATGGACCGACATTTCACAGAATCATAAGATATAATGGAATTATCTACTTGAATCATTCATGGAAATATTGGAGGCAATAGACATAGGTTTGGCAATTGTGAAACTATGTTAATGTGTTTAAGACAAGTTATTAGATACTTATTATTCAGTAGCTTGGTCAGTTTGAGTTCAATGATCTTCATCACTATCGAATCATCCACAGTTAAACAACAATCTTATACTAACAGCTTTTGGGGTCTCAACTGCCAACATGGTTCCCCATTTTCAGTGCAAATGAGAAAAGGTTGAGAGACAAATTGAATAAATGAGATGGCCTAATGTAAAGACTGCTTACATGGGCAGTCAACAATTTCAGCAATGAGTTCCAAAGAGATTTAATTTAGCAGGACAGGTATCTTAGAACAAATTTCACTATTATATCAAAGCACCTCAGCCATTGTAGAAATTACACAAATGTAACATGATATGGATTATGGAGACAGTACATAGAAACCACAAAAAATAAATACAAAAATTAATCTACCTTCAACAGGTTCAAACATGATAACTAATAGTGAAAGGGAAGTGATTCACAAATTGAATTTAATGATGTAATAAAGACTGCTGAATGGTGAAGTGGTGGAGAACACTGAAAAATGTTTCCTCCGTTTTCAAATCAAAAAGAGTGAAGCAATATGTATGGCTCCAAATTCATGTTCAAATCCAGGAAGGCTCCATTTCTACTAAGCAATACGAAAGTGGTTGGGTAACTATAAACCTATACCTTGGTGACTAATGAATCAGTTGTATTTTTGACTTTCACTGTGAGTTTTTTTCCAACTAACCTCCCATTTAATCAACACAAGGTCCACAACTCTAAGTACGTTGTTGTTGCTCTAGTAAAGAAATGATGGACAGATGAAATAAAGGCCTGACAAGCATTAGCCCTCAAGCCAAAAACCCAACCAAGCCCACCTTCCAACAATCTTTTGTGAATAAGTAAATAATAGCTCCTCATCAACACTTCAGACTGGCTTGATTGGATCTTCACCACTGCTCACTATTGTAGTGGATCTAAAGGATTTCCCAGTGATTCATTACTTCCAACTCTAAAGCGCCATTAGCACTATATTCCTTTGATGCATCCATCACCCTTGATCTACTCTATACGGTAAGTTAGAAATTCTTTGTTCCTCCAGCAAAGTCGATTCATGTAAATAACAGTGAGGTCAAATAAATCGGTCCAATAGTTCCTAAGTTGATATCTTTTGGCTGCAAATTACACAAGATTTGTAGATGTAAAGTATGTAACCCACCAGTGTCATCTATGTATGACATATATCCTATCCTGGAACATTTGTTGATCAACAACAAGAATGGCTCAGGACCCATCTCAATCATAGACTGATCACAACTTACAAATCAGATTCAGCATTAGCATGTGAGCTAAGCTTAGTGAAGATGGAAAATGAATTAATAAATTTGCCTATAAAATTGCTATTCCAGTGAATATGGATTTCAATGTCCTAGAAAAATCTTTAAAGTTTAAACTAACTTAGTAAATATATTTCCATAGAACTGTAGCAGAGAAATATTTATACAGGGCCAGATTAAGAAAGGAAAAATCTGAGAACTCTGATAAGACCTCCTCACAGCAGAATGGAGTAATCCAAAAGAAAGTTGTAAAGACAGATACATGAATTATGAAAGCTAATTTGGAAGCTAACACTGTAAGTTTAAAACTAATAAACAATACACTTGTACAAGATTTGTATGACCTCCTAAAACTGTGTGCAACATGACAAGCAATATTCATCAAGAAGATATGATAACGTAAATTGGTGGCCAACCAAGAATCAAACATAAAATTTAAATTTTAAAATGCAAGTCCAAAAGGAACCTAAGCAGTTAAACCTACTTTTGCTCTAGACGCAGATCACCATATGCCTAGATAAAGTTGTTGTAATCTGTCCACACAAACTCATAAGTTCTACAGATCAGAAGATTATTATGGTACAAACCAAAGTATAATAAAAGTTCAAGTCAGGAAAAACTTCCCTCCGGCCTGGTCACGAAAGATGCTTAACACTACACGAAATGTTAAAGCAACAGAGAACCGGGAATTTATCTCTCATAAAGTCCAATTGCTATTACTAAAAGGAATATAGGATTCATAAAATTCAGATTGGAAGAAAGAAGCGTATCTTTCACCATGCCATATATATGGTAAATAATTTAAGACATCATAATTGTATCCTATACCATTAGCCATGTGGTCTGGTGTTTTTAGTCACAGGCCTAAGGTTCAATCCTTAGTCTTTATAGTACCCAAAAAATTCATAATTGTATCCTATAAATCACTATTCCAATTAGATGAAGCTACCCAGTAGAAGTCATCGCCAGAGCTACCTATCGCTTTCTTAATCATTTACATCATTGGATAATCACTAATTAATTACCATGGCTATATTGACAACTAACAACAACTAATTTAAAAGTTTAAAACCAAAGAAAATTGAAAACAAGCAGCAAATAAACATAACGAAGAGCAAAAACCCTAAATCCTTACCGTCGATTGGACAGGAAGAGGATCGAGAATGACAGAGCGTACAGACATCTTGGCGATCTCAGTGATTGCAGCCTCCTTCACCCCAGGCACATCACTGGTCAAGTCCTCGTACGCCGCCTCAAAGGCCTCCTGCCAAAACCTCGTTAATCTGATCCGACGGCCATTAGTATACACATCCCACATATGCTTCACCACCTTCTCCCTCTCCTCCATTTCCTGCAATTTAACCGTAGATTTCATACGCACTAAAAGAAAACACATACATACGAGTACTAAATTCCAAAAGTGTTTAGGAAACTAACGAGAACGTCGAGATCGTCGTGGATAGGAGGCTCGAGATCATCCGAAAGGCGGTTAAGATTACCGGCGGACCTCCGGAGGGTTACGGTGCCAGTAAGCATGGACCAGAACGCTAGCAACAGAATGGCTGCTAACGCCCAGAACTTATACCGGCCTCTACCAAACAGACTCGAATCCGAGCTCTCCTTCTTCACAGGCGTTACCGTCTTCGCCGTCGTCG